AACTTCCTTAATTTATTTTAGGATTCCAGCCTAATTTTGGATTATACCCTCTCCCCTAGAAGTCCCCCCACTTCATTCCGCATTAGTCAGCATGTGCCCCAACCTTCCAGAGCAGCTTTTAAGGAGTACAGGGTGCGGAGAGGAGGAGACAGGACACTCTCCACCTATGAAATTCCTCAAGGTAACTTATCCTCACATTAGAATATTACCTCTGTCTTCAACAATTTTACCTCTGTCTTCACATGGAGTCTCTCTCTTTTTTTGCTGAAGAACCTTTGGGAGTTGCCCTTCCAACACAGTCATTCAGCCAACCCAAAGTAGGTCACACACCTGCTGTACTTGGAGCTTGCAGTACTGCCCTCGGAATCTTCCGGAAGGTGCCTCAACAGAAATGCATTCAGTGTAAGATCCCAGTCTGTCCACATTCCCACCAGGGACATTGATGCCAGGTTTCCCAACAGAATCGTACACTGTAAAATCAAAGCAAGGATGCCGGGCAAACTACACATGGTCCACTCATAAACTGACTAAAGGAAGGATGCAATGAAAGGATGGGGGCCAGAGGCATTTGAGGGAAATGAGAGGGTTCAGCTTCCTGCACTCACCGTTACTCTGCCAAATGCTTTGGTTGGAATGGTCCTAGGTAAAGGTAAAAGGACCCCTGACCATTAGGTCTAGTCGTGGCCGACTCTGAGGTTGCGGCGCTCATCCCACTTTATTGGCCAAGGGAGCCAGAGTACAGCTTCCGGGTCATGAGGCCAGCATGACTAAGCCGCTTCTGGCGAACCAGAGCAGTGCACGGAAATGCCATTTACCTTCCCGCCAGAGTGGTACCTATTTATCTACTTGCACTTTGACATGCTTTCGAACTGCTAGGTTGGCAGGAGCAGGGACCAAACAACGGGAGCGCACCCCGTCGCGGGAATTCGAACCGCCGACCTTCTGATCGGCAAGTCCCAGGCTCTATGGTTTAACCCACAGTGCCACCCGGTCCTACTTTTTACTAATTTGGTTATTTATACTTGCATTATGATACCCTAGGACATGGTAGTTAAGGATGGGTTCCCCAAAGCTGGCATTAGCCTGGAGATGTAGCAAAGGGCCCTGATCTTTTGCACCTGCCTTAGCGAAGAAGTTATGCCTCTCCCTGAATACACAGAGAGATGGAGACAACCACTGATATTCCAGCCTAGTTAATAGTTGTGTAGGAAAATGCATCAGCTGGGTGATTATTCTTACCCAACTGCAATGAAAAAGTAACGCCGGTAAAATTCTTCCATCTGGCAAAGAGATGGAGAATTCTGGTAGTAATTAAGACCATGATGACCACACACACCCCAACTTCCAAAAGGTGTCAGTCTACCTAAAATGACATTATTGGTGACTGGCAGGACACAGTCTGTTGTCAGACAAGTCCCACCTGGGTCCAAACCCCTTAAAAATGGACTGCGGCCAAATGGTCCCTGTCCCACAAATCCCATCCAATGACTGCTACACATGAGTAGACCAGAAGCCTGTTTGTAAGCAGATGTATTCGGATAGACTTAAACTGAAAGGTTCCTTTTTAAATTTTATTGAAGCAACATTCTGCCTCTTCTGCTTGTCTTCTTCCTTACTTTTTTATTATTAATAAACTTCATAAAATTTGGCTGGTGCGGTCTTGAGTGCATTTTTGCCAGAGTCTCAGGGTTAGTCAAACCTCGCATGCACCTAGCCCATCGGTCCAGGCTACATTTTTGTATGAGAGGGAGTTGGTTTCCGGGGAGTGACGGATGAGCCAGATGCTATCTCTGTTTCCCTTTTAAGAATTTGCCTTGGATCCCAGAAAGCATTCCTGCCTGGGCCAAAGTGTTCCTAAGAGGGGTGAGATGGTAGCTTACTTGTGGAATTCAGCTGGAAATTGGGGGACAAAACTAAAATTACCAGTTTCCTGGGGCCACAATGGTGCAAAAACGTGGTTACAAAGCACAGATCCACATGGATTCTCAGGATTTTTGCATTGGGCTACCCCAAACTCACTGTCAAATCACATGTCTGTGGCCACAGCATGATGCACAAAAATGATACATCCACTGTTTCATTCAGAATTTTTTTTCTTGTTTTCCTCCTCTAAAAACTATGTGCATGTTATGGTCAGGTGCGTGTTATAGAGCGAAAAATACGGTAGTTGGTTCTGCCTGTCATTGGCTCTGGCTACACTTATGCTGCTCACCCTAACCTTTCCAATGGACAACCACCACCACAGCTAATATCCCGATTGCCACTTTAATTATACGTATTTGAAATACTTTTTTAACCCCCATCAAGAATCCCAGTTAGCAGGTGTGGAGATACACATTTCAAATAAATTAACAGGCCAAGAAAACTCAAGGAAGCACACTTCTTAAAAATTCTACTTACTCTTTACGGCGTAAGCTTTGGGTTCTTCTGCATTCAGGTCAGAAAGGAATTCTGCGACGTCTTCCCAACATCCAAGAGTTATATTTATTGCAACAGAAGCAAAAGGCAGTAAAAGAAGCAGGAGGATTTTGAACCCAGAAGCCATTTCTACACCTCGTTTACCTCTAGACTTCTTCCTTTGGGCCTGGCGATTTATATTAGGGCCTCAAGCCACTTGCCTTAGGTGAGAAGACAAGGCAACTGTGTCTTAATTGAAAAAGGATCAATTCGCCTTGCAAAACAGATGCAATGCTGTGGAAATTGCACGAATAGCGTGAAAAGGGCTCTTTGCGCCTTAGTGTTTTCTCAGCTTGGATGTCCTTATTACTTCCTCTGTGCTTTTTAAAATCACCTGCTGCAATTTGTTACAGAGATCAAGGCAGGTGGTTGTTACCTTTCCATGGTGTTCTCTCACCACAATTTCAGAACTATCACGAAAATATACACTTCCGAAAATTCGACATAGGATTACACACAAAGGTACAGACCAGCTTCAAGAAAATATCTGAATGGACACATTTGACTGCCTAAAACGTACTTGATTGTGGTGGCAAGGATAAAGCTTCTGGTTGAGAACAGCATTTTGTCTTGGAAGACTGCGATAATGGGAAGGCCGTACAAATATAAACAAAGCAACAACAATGGAAAGAGTCTTGTAATAAAAAGGTAACCTTTATTATTCCATTCACTCTGTACAAAAAAAACCCCCAAAATAAAACACCATCACTGCATAGTGACTGCCCATTTGTTACACAGGTCAAAAAGTGCACATCGACAAGCGTGAGGCTTTAAGAGGTACACAGTTTCTTTTTTAAAAAAAGTTTTAAAAGGCAGTGACAAGCTAGTATACATCACTGACAGAAGTGTAACAGAATCCTGCATATTCAGCTACAGGGTAGAATCAAGACGTTCTCCATAACCTCCAGATATCTGATGAGTATAAAAAGAGGGAGAAAAGGAATAACAAGCATTCACTGGTCATCATCAACGAAGCGAAGAACAAATAATGTTCAGCTACTGAGAACTCGTTTTGCTTCTGACATAATATCCGGAAAATACGTTAGAAGATGGCAAGGAATCTGGAGACACCTTAAAGGCTAACACGGCTTTCTTGCCAACAGAGTGTTTTGGCCTACAGCTCAGTCGGTAGAGACTCTTAAATCCCAGGGTCGTGTCTTACGTTGGGCAAAAGGTTTCTTGAGTTGCAGGGGGTTGGACTAGATGGCCCTCATGGTCCCTTCAAACTCTCCGGTTCTATGGGTTCTAACTCCCATCAGCCCCCCCTGCCAGTATAGACTATGCCAGCTGCAGGTTGATGGGAATGACAGGCCAAAGAACCTGGAAACCTCCAAGCTGGCAACTTATGATTAAGGTGCCACACAAGGCTCTTGGATATTTTTTTGCTGCAAAAGACTTAACAGAGCTACTACCCCCTTTGGACACCAGTGGATCAGTATTTCCTCTGCTCAATAAATAACGGAATATCACAATTCTTTAGGGGCAAAAGAGAGGTGGGAGGGGGAACCCCACATTTATTTACATACAACATGTGTCTTCATACAAGTAACTATGGACAAAATGTATAATTCCCGAGAGCAGCAACGCCTTCCCTTGGTTTTCAAGAATGGAACGTTTAACTACAGTATAATCATGCAGTTTTCTTTCTGTCTCTCCCCCTATACATACATACATATATATATTTATATATACATACATACATACGTACATACACTGAACATTTTGTTTTCAATGTTTTTTCCCCTCTAAAAAAGTACAAAATTGGGTTCAGGGAATACATATGTGATATAAAAGCAACCCACAAAAATCCAACGTAGCGTAAGAAGGGCAGCGCATGGAACCTCTTCTGTACTTCCATAAAAACACGAGTTATCGATAGAAGGTACATTCTGAGGTGTTCCCCACCTCCAAAAGCACCAAACTTTCCACTGAGATCGACAGTGTTTAGGAAATGCAAATCAAAAGGTGCTAAATTAACAGGTTTATGCCACGAGAGGAGAAGGAGGAGGAAGGGTCAGCACATAGTGCAAGATCGCTTACCTGCCTCCGAAGGGTGTCTCCTGTTAACAGCCACACAAATCCAACAATGTGGTGCAGCTGGCTTGTACACAGAGCACCTCAGGCACACCTTCTGTCACAAACCAGGGGGAGCTTTTCGCACATGAGGCCTCTGTACGGAGCATTTGCCAGCCCTGAAGAAAACGGGCACACTGGCGGTGGTTTGAACATTTAATTACTGCAGACACCTGGTTCGTGGCCACCAGCTGCACTTTTTGCAAGTTGACTTATATATACAGTGGTACCTCGGGTTACATGTGTTTCAGGTTACAGACTCCGCTAACCCAGAAATAGTACCTCGGGTTAAGAACTTTGCTTCAGGATGAGAACAGAAATTGTGCTCCAGCAGCAGGAGGCCCCATTAGCTAAAGTGGTGCTTCAGGTTAAGAACGGACCAGGTTAAGAACGGACCTCCAGAACGAATTAAGTACATAACCAGAGGTACCACTGTACTTTGCAGGCATCTCGGGGCTGATTTTTTTTGCAAGAGGCACAGAATAGTCTTGTGGGTGTCTGTCATAACTCGCATGGGGATGTGAGTGTGCGGCATGGACAAATGCATGGAGAAAGCTGCCTTAAATGCTGAAAATAAAACTAGAAGATCTTAAGATCTAGTCCAGCCTCCTGTTCTCACAGTGGCCAACCAAATGCCTATGGGAAACCTGTCAGCACAAGAGTACTCTCCCCTTCTGTAGTGTCCAGGAACTAGTATTCAGAAGCACTATTGGCATCAACCATGGTGACAGAGCAAAGCCATCAAGGCTAGAAACCACTGACAGTCTTCTTCAAATCCTTGCTAACTCCATAACCATGAGATCTAGCAACGTGGTGTGTGTTTTTAAACACATGCCACCAGCTTCCCCCATTAATCCCAAATACTCCACCACGTTAACACATTTTGGTAGAGAATTTGGGCGATCTGGGAACCGCATAACACTGAGCTAACACTATTTGTCCCAAGAGACTTTGGGTGCAATTCAGAGTAGACGAGAGCGTACGTTTAGGGCAGAGGGTTAAGACTATGAGCTGAGAAACCCCACGTTCAAATCTTGCCTTAAATATGAGCTCTGTCCACGCACATGCAGCCATCTGCAATGTGGGGGTGATAATAATAATAATAATAATACTGACCTACCTGACAAGGTTGTTGTAAGGAGTACTGAGATAATTTATGTGAAGCACTCTGAAAATTCCAAAACATTTTATAATTGCTGGTATGGTCCAGAACCTTTAAGAAATCTATGAGCTGTGTGAATTACACAGCAGGCCTCGCTCTTTTTCATTTTTTTTTTTAAAAAGAAATTACATTTTACCTGCAAAATTAGAACTACTATGTAGGTAGTATTATTCACGTATAGAACAGTTTCATTATTCAGAGTGCTTCATGGTCCTTCATCTTTATGTGATGCAGCATGGTACTATATGATGCCGCTCTGAAAAAGACTCACAGTGCTCAAATAGTACCCTTTCCATCTATCACCTTGGCAACATACCTCTCAGTTCATCTTTCTGCGATTGCTTGCACCTGAATGCATCTCCTCCTCATATATGTAAACCGAGAGGCTAAAACAAGCTGAAAGCAACATAAAGAGCCAGTGGGAGGTGCTTGGCTTATGTCTGTGTTAACCCGAAGACAAGCAACCTTGAAAATAGTAACCGGGTAGTTCAGAATTCAAAACTTTAGTCGACTAATTGGAGAGCGAGACCAAGAGACTGTGAGGAAGGAAGGGCACGTGAAGCTGAAACTCACTAGGTGGCCAATTCAGAGGAACACACTAGAAATCAACTCACTCCTATGTATTCCTAAGTGCACAAACCAACCATTGCAAACCACAACCATCCTCAAATACACATTAAAGCATTGGCCTGGTTTGCACATAATGCTAAACCATGGTTTCCTGAACAATGGCGTAGTGTTATGTGTGAAGCCTGCCCAGCAGCTTAACTATATTTTGGTTTTCTATTTTTTACTTCTACCAGCAAAACACAGTCTGGAGTAATGGTTAGCTGCTAGCTTATGAACATTTGGTTTGTTGTAGATCTGGCTTGGCATTACATATGACCCCAGTGCCCTTCCTCAGTCATAGTTTGTTTGGCCACCCTGTCTCAGAAGCTCACCAATCATTAAGAGATCACTCAGGCCTCAGATTAAAACACAGCACAAGAGGCAAGTCCCATTGCTTGCTATGAAGGGTCAAACGTAGCTCACACAAATTCAGGCCTGCACTATGTATACGCTGCATCAACAAAAACTGAATTCTGCCACCTGTGTAAGTTATGCAAATTAACCACCTCTCCATATACTCATGATTTAAATGTCTCTCCTAATCTCAGGGCGTGGCAAAGAACCACCTTATACACAGAAGCACCATTTCCAAGTGGCTAGAACCTAGCCGCTAGAAATCCTGTTCATACTGTCCTTTGGCTTCTGAGAATGTAACAGCCATCCTCTGAGAACTAGAGACTTGCTTTAAAAAGAGTAAAACAAGGGTATTTCAAACGATACAGGATTCTGTGCCAGGTGCCCTGTTTATAACAACTGCTGAATACTGTTTATACAACAGAACTGCTGAATACATTAAGAACTGAAGAAGGGTGTGCTGGATCAGGCCAATGGCCCATCTAGTCCGGCATCCTGTTCTTACAGCAGCTGACCAAATGTTGGTGAGCACAAGAGCTCTCTCCCCTTCTGTGGTTTACAACAACCGTTATTCAGAAACACTGATGCTTCCTACACACAGCGCTGCACTAAATCCCTCTTGTTCCCACAGTCCATGCTATTCCCAAATCACATAACAGGAACTGCTATAAGAACACCATGGTTTGCAAGGCTCACTGTGGTCCAGATCATTACAGCCTTTCCTGTGGTCCAGATCATTACAACTCTCAGCATCTCCCAGGGCTGGGCCTTGCTGGCTCAGACTGATGGGACTGTGCCAGCTTTGGCAGGTGGGCAGGGCAACCCCCCCTGTCAATTATATGATGGACAGGTGGGCTGCCCTACCCACCTGTCCAAATCCCTTGTCCTTGCTTTAAGGCTTCCCATGTGAGCATGGGAAAGTGGGGACTGCACGCTCTTTGCAGAACTCTACCCGGAAGAGGAAGGCAGCTCTAGAAAGCCTCCCAGATTCCTTGTTGTGCATTCTGGTGTCCGATCTAGTCTACGTTTCAATAAGCAACGGAAACAAAATCTGTAGGAGAGGGAAGCAAATCCTTGGCGGCCTCAGTTAAAGCGAATCAGGTAGCAGGTGACAGAAAAGACCCTTTTTTCTGCCCGAGATCCTGGTAAAGCTGCTGCGAAACAAGAGGGGACAATACTGGGCTAAATGGATGCATAGTCTGACCTACGGGGTGTTAGCTTTTCAATGGGGGCTACAAATTTATCCTACGCCTCCGAGCACCTGATCTAACATAAAACTGGCGCCGCCTACCATCTTATGCAAGCATCCAGGCTTCAGCCTTCTCCATCAAACAAAAAATACATCATTTCACGGGTTTTTCAATGTAGTGTTTAAGAAATGACACAGCGCACGATCCTTCTCCCTGCCTCTCCACCATTGTAAACTCAATTCACAGTACTCTACATATTTGTTTAACTGGGAGCAGCTAAGCAGCAAAATACTGAAGCACCTCAACAGGGCTTTCGAAAGAGTCCAAGGTCCTCTCTCAAAAGTGCAGTGGAAGAGAGCAAAAGAGCATGATGCTTAAAACACAAGGAGCACAGACCCTCCAGGGCATTCCTTACACGTAAGAAGTGATGAAAAGGAAGGATAGCGCTTTGGGGCAGCTCCCATTATTTCAGGGGGGCTTTTCTGCAGGAAACTGCAGCTGGGTTCTGTAGCCGATGTGTTGTCTACACACGGAAATGCCCTCTCACATTAATACGGGGAGATTTTCCAAAAAAGCACCTATAATGTTTATGCAAGAGGCCATAATAAAATTATTCTAAATCCTCCTGATCGTTAAGAATGTTATTTGGGGGCATAAATCCAGTAACTACAAAGCAATCAGACAAACAAAAAAGCTACTTGCCTTTCATTTATCTTCTTTTAACTTTTGCTTTCTAGTGCAGTTTTGTCAATCCTCCCTTGGGTATATATATATATTCGTAGGCTTCCTCTGACTTCAATGCTAAGGTGTGTGAGCCACCACAATGTGCGACGTTTCCACACACACAACACTGGCAATTTCAGAAGCTCTAGATCGTGTGGCAGTCCAATGACACATGGTACAGCTCCTTAACATGCCAGAATTAACCATGGTTTCCAAGAAGGATGATGGTAACATGGAAAAGAGCTGGGGGACTCATGGCTCCTCCCATGTGACCTCTAGCATGATCATAGAGTTATGGAACAGACGGGCGTGTTCCCTTGATGTTTTAGTGACATCAGAAAGGGACCACCCCAACGCAGTTTAACGGAAACCTAAGCAATGCCCTAATATGAAGAACTCTGTTTTAAAATGAACTTGCTGTCCGGAAAAAACAACAAAAACAACTGACCAAAACCGAAAAACAAAACGAAACAAGGATTTCCCACTAAATACCAATACCAACACATAACAAAGAGTATAAAAATTATCTGTTTAAATATATACAAACTCTGTTCAACTCAAATACTGCTTTATTTCACGTGGAGTGTTTTTTTTTAAAAAAAAGTCTTTAGGGGGGTTATATATATCTATGTATATATATATTTCTCTATATATCTCTCTCTCTCTAGCGATGAGGTGAAGAAGATATTATTTTCAGTACAGAATATATTGCAACAGCGTGTGAAGAGCTGTTATCTCCATTGTGTGGCAGGTTTTCTGTACCAAAAATGAATGAAAGAAAGAAAGGTCAGTCACGTTCTGAAGTAGAGAAGGCTTCTTCTTTCTCTCGCTTTTGGGATATGCGTGTGGGGTGGGAGGGAGGGGCGAGTCATTTTTCAGTTGAGCTCATTCTTTTGGATTTAATGAAGGCCATTCCATGTGTCCGCATGTGGGTGTTTAAGGCCGCTTCTGTTTCAAAGGTCTTTGCGCAAACTTTGCACTTCCTGTCGGACACGGCACTGTCAGACGACTCCTCCTCGCGGCTGGGCTTGTTCTCCTGTTGGCTGTCTTCCCCCGACCCATTCTGTTTCGAGACGGGCTGGGGCTCCTTCAGCTTGTGTACGATGAAGAGATGGCGGGAGAGGGAGACGTGGGAGGTGTAGCAGAGGCCACATTCCCTGCACTGGTACGAAGAGCCGTCAGATTTGTGCTGGGGAATATGTTCGTGGAACTGAAGGAGGTTCTCGGTCGTGAAGCCGCAGACTGCGCACTTGTGGACTTTGAAAACGTTGATCTTTAGCTTCTTCAGAGGCTGAGTGATGGCGCCTCGAGGGGGCCTGAATTCCAGTACAGGCTCTTCCAATTTACGCTTCGGACTGGGAACCTGAAGTTGGAACAAATCAGTTTTAAAATATAAACAACCCAACTATGATCATGTAGCTGTTCTCATGAATGTTCACTGCTTCTGCACTAGAAATAAGTGTGTGTATTGAGCCAAGGATCATGTTCGGAATCAGCCAACAGGAAAGCACTTCTTGACACAATGCACAATTTAACTTATGGCATTCTCTGCCAAAGTTTGTGTATGTGTTTGGGGTGGTGATGGTTACTGCCTTAGATGGCTTTCAAAAACATAGTGGTGTAGAGTCGGTGGAAGAAGATTGGAAAAAGTTTAAAGTTTACCTACAGAAATACTGTAAAATTAATGAATGTTAGAATGATGTTGGATAAGAAGTCAAGTGGTTTTTTAGCTATAATGCTATAAAGAATATGAAAAAATGGATTATTAATAGGTTAAAATTTAAGGTTAAAATATTTTAAGATTAAAGATTAGGATAAACAAAGAGGGAAAGGATTTGCTGAACTAACAAATTGAATTGGAATACAAAAAAGGGAGGTGTGAGGAGGTCCGGGAAACAAGCAAATGAAAAATAAGTAATGGAAAGATGGAATTGTTTTTAACTGTTTTTATTTTGTATTTTTCTTTTTTCTTTTTTCATTTTGTAATATTTTGAAAATCTTAATAAATATCTTTTTTTAAAAAAAAACATAGTGGTGTATCCGACACGGAGGACAGGTTTTACAATGGCTGTTATTTATTTACAGTGGGCACTTGGGTTGCGAATGTGATCTGTGCGGGATGCACGTTCACAACCCACAGCGTTCGCAACCCGCAACCTGCGCGTCTGCACACACGCGGGTTACAAAGTGCTTTCTTCACTTTTTTCCTCAAAAGACAAAAGAAGCTTCAAGTCTCCCAACTCTGATTTGTTGAGAGGACACAGAAGTTTATTCAGCTGGTATTCCATGTTTCTTTTTAAAGACCAGGACTTGCATACAAATAAGAGCTCACCTTCGCGTCTTCTTTTGCCGTGCTTTGTCCTACATTGCTGGATTCTGTCATCTCTTTCACATCGGGCTCTTTAATGCCGTGCATCAGCTGAATATGCTTTTCGAGCATCAACCGCTTGGTAAAAGTACGCCTTGAATCCGGACAGTGCCTGCATGAACAAAATGCATAGCAGACCATCAACAGTTATGATCAACTAGTTGGTACTAACAGTGTTTGCACAGGTGCTCACCTGCCTGCCCTTAAAATGGCTGGACATGGCTAACTCACATCGTACTGATTTCAATGGGTGTACTCAAAAATAAAATTTACTTTTGTAAAAGTCGGTGAGGCGATATAGGCCTTCAGCTTGGCAGGTCTTTATTTGGAAGGTTTGGGGATGCAGGATGGAATAGTGGGTGGTGGGCCGGGGCAATTAGTGGGAATGGGGCCAGTTTTCCTGAAACTTGGTTAGTGTTGTGGGAATTTTCCTTGGTTTGTTTTGGAGGAATGGGTACACTAGAGGAGGGCTTTTTCCAATGTTATCTATCTCCATTTGCACCCACTGTTTCCTTTCGTCTTCTAGGATGTATGGGATTACATTGCACTTGGTTGGCGAGCGTAAACAAACTGTGGGAAAGACTCTATGAACCGAAAATGGAGATGCTATATGTACTTTCCTTTGTTTGTTTTGCAACACAAGTAAATCTTTAAAACACACACACACACATTTTACTTGGATTCAACCTGAAGAGCAATAGGAGCACTCTCTCTTACACATACATACACCCAGGCCATTTTAACTTATTTGCTACATAAAAAGCAGCTTGACTGCTGCTACCTATTTTATCCAGCAACAAGTTGCCTTAGGAAACAGCTGGGTGCATTCCAGGACACACTTCTGGTTTCAGTAAGCCTAACTGTCACCATGCATGTGCTGAGAACGCACTTTAGCAATTGTCCCATAATCCTCTACAACCAAGGGTACATAATGTAGTGCCCACTAGACATTTGAAACCACAATGAGTCCTCCAGATGTTCTGGGCTCCTATGGGGCATGGCTTTCAGCATGGCTGATGGCAGGGATGATGGGATTTGTAGTCCAGAACATCTGCAGGGCACCGTGTCAGCTATCCCTCCTCTGTGGTAGGCAGCCTTAAACAACAGACATGAACGGGGTTCTGTAGAACTTTGTTCTTCAACTCTGGGTCCTCACATGCAGCAGGACTCCAGCTTCCACCATTCCCGACAACTGGCAAAGCTAGCTGAAAATGATGGGCATTGTAGTCCAATGACATTTGGGGACCAAAAGGTTGAAGAACACTGTGTGGCTCCACCTGGAGACTCATTTCCTCTAAAGAGTAGGCTGAAACGTGAGCAGATTGTCTTGTCTCCAGATATGCTACCAGGCCTCTCAATGAGCGAAGAAGGGCAGGTTGTTGTTTTTTTAAAGGTCTAAGAATTATTATAACGAACATAGTTGCGCAGAACTCTAAAAAGCAGAACTTACGAGCAGGTATAAACTTTCCTAATGCCTTTGTGCTTGATACGATTGTGGCGGCAAAGGCTGTGCGAGGAACTGAAGGATTTGTCGCACTGTCGGCAAGGATGCTTCTTCATTTGCTTTAAAGAAAGGAAGTCAAAACGTTTTTTTTAAAAAGGAGGTTCATTATGATATGTGCCGGTTAACTTACAACTTTACCTTAAACAAAGCAATGTCGCGAGCACGACACATCCCAGGGCACCGTTATGACATGATGTGTCCACCAGAGGGAGCAGGGCTGGGTTGTACAGTGAATTATTTCTAGAAAGCAATGGAAGCCACTTCCCCCTTACTAATTCTGATCCAGTATAGGTAGCCTGATGGCTCTACAAACACAATGCTTTGAAAGACCTACTTGTGCGGTTTCCCAGATTTGCAATTACCAGTTGCAGCTGCTCTGCCTATCCCCCCAGAAGTCAATCGAGTGGGGGAAATTAACCAGGCAAAATGGAAATCGGCTAACGAGAGGAGGAATGGCGTCGTACACAAAAGCCAGCTGTTAAATGCAGAGCAGCATATGGAGGGATACATGTGCATTATTTCCATGCCCTGTGCTCAGATCTTCCTGAACAGGTTGCTCACACACCTGTCATTTGACTCACAAGACCTATGGACCATTGTGTCTGTCCCCCCCCCAAAAAAATCCAAAATAAGTGGGGACTAGCCAATGGCTACTAGCCATGACGGATACATGGGAGCTCCATGTGCAGGAGGAGAAGCCTGCCTCGGAGTACGAGATGCAGAGGACATACAGCAGTTCTTGCGCTGCTCTGTGAGTCCCAGAAGTGTCTAACTGGTTGCTGGACCGCAATATAAGGAGGTCTGTGTCCAGCAAGTTATGTGATGCTCTTATCCAGTCCACCTGCGGGACACAGATCCATCACTGGCATTCCTCGCCTCTGGCTGACAAGCTTGCTAGGCCCAAGCCAAACCCAAGGTTGCTAGGCAACCCCTTACAGCTCTCTCTTTAGTAGCCATTCGCAACACAAATGATAAACAGCAGCAAGAGGATCTGAGCAAGGCTTGCTGCATGATGACCTACATGAATGACCCAAGAAGCAGTAAAACATTTTAACCAACGGCCCATATCAGAGAATTTATCCTACTCTGGAACAATTCACACACACACACTGCTTCATTTCAGGTTCCATCTTTGAAAGCTGCTACATGGGTGTTTCATTATAGCATCTCCTACCCATGAGAGCCTGCTTATTACGAGCTTTCTTCTGTCTTTACCAACACCTCTGAGCTTATTACATTTTCGCGGTATTTCCCATATGGCTTTCTCTCACGTCTCTCTCTCCTTCCACCCAAGGCAGCAAAACTGACATGGTTTTTATTAGTTTTACTCCTGCCTAGGGGCCTGTGCTGAACATCAACCATGAAAAATTATGAGCTTTTAAAATTTCTTCCTTCTTTTTAATTTTACTACTCTGAAAGCCTCGTTGGCAGGGGGGAGCCAAAAGCAGGTTGGAGTCGATAAGACTGTTATTAGTTCAGAGAAGTGGGACTTGCAAGAAAATATTACAGTATGGAGTGTTCCTGCTCAGGGTTCCAGCCAGTCAGTGCTCTTTCAGGACACTCCATTACATTCCCTTTCTCCACTTCTGTTTCTATTCCTCTTCTGAGGTGCCTTTTTTTGTGAACATTGAGCATACTGCCTGCCCACCCTGCTTGGAGTTTGGTACATATTTTGCAGCAGCGTGACCAAGGAAACAGTCTAGTAAGACTGGTGACTGAAAGAATAAACTTAAGGTTTATTACTCATGGCAAACAAAGCAAATAGAGGTTTTTACATGTGGCCAAGATGGAGCCAAGAAATTAACACGGGAACATGCAAACTCATTTTTGGACCAGGGATGTGGGTGGCGCTGTAGGCTAAACCACAGAGCCTAGGAAAACCAATCTGTGAGGAGTAAGAACAGGGGGCCTTTCTGTTTCTTGCATCTCCCCACACCACTGGTCCAGGTAACTTACAGCCCTTTTTGCTGTACAGTGGTACCTCTAGATGCGAACGGGATCCATTCCAGAGCTCCGTTCGCATCTAGAAGCAAACGTAACCAGTGAAGGCACGTCTGCGCACGTGCGCGTCGCATTTCGCCACTTCTGCGCATGACGTCATATTGAGCATCTGCGCATGCGGCAAAACCCGGAAGTAACGCGTTCGGTTACTTCCGGGTTGCTGCGGAGCGCAACTCGAACGCGCTCATCCCGAAGAATTCAACCCGAGGTATGACTGTACATTCAACCCGAGGTATGACTGTACTCCTATTCAAAATGCATAAAAATAGGATCAGACACATTCTGCTCAATAGGGCCAACTAATCAGGGCACGCCTGTCATGTTAATTCATCGCAGCAGCTTTAAGAACATAAGAAGAGCCTGCTGGATGAGGCCAATGGCTTAACCAGGCGAACAACCTGCTGTCACAGGGACCAACCAGATTCCTAGGAGAAGCCTGAAACAACAGCCGTCTGCCCACTGTTACTCCCAGGAAAACGGCACTCAGGAGCAATGTGCTTCCAAGTGCGCAGGGGGGGTCATAGCCATTGTGGCTGGTAGTCTTCTACAGCCTTCTCTTCCACGAATTTGTCTAACCCTCTTTCACAGCCATCCAAGTTGGTGGGCGACACTTTGAAAAGCGCTTAAAATTTAACGGATCTAGGCAATAACATACTCGTGAAAATTTCTAGCATTGAATCTCCCTTCTGCGCCGCAGGAAATGTAAACCAGGCTGATCCATTGTGTTGATTTGTATATTATTTCCCTCTATAACCCTGTGCCTTTTAGCGTGCATGATCTTATTTATTCTCTGGATTTATGCTTACATAAAACTAAATAGTGGCCTTTTTTTCGCTGAAATTGTGTGATGGCTGGTTACTTAAAATGCAATCAAATCTGCCTAGCCTGGCTTAGAAAGAGAGAAAGAGCCCATTCCAGCATGCAGAATTGACATCAGTCAGTTTGTCCTGGGCTTCACCATGGTGAAGGGATTTATTTATTTATTTTGCCAGGGGTGGGGTATTATCTTTTATAATAACTTTTCAGCAACAGGCAAGTGCAATCAATAAACCTCACTGCTGGTTTGGTTGCAAGGTGGACGACTAACGGGGACGAATTCTTTCCATGCTAAACATCCTCGTCAACAACTTGAAAACGGCCCAGATCTAATCTTCTAATTCTCCGCTCAACACCCGCGATTTACCTTTCCGTGTTCTTTCCTCATGTGGGATATGTAAACATCTCTCTGAGTAAACAGGCGATCACATTCCCAACACGTCCAGCCGGGATTGGGGACTTTCGGGGGCTCTGCTTTCTTCACAGGGGAGGGGGACTTCTTCTCTGCCTTTTCTGTCCCGTTGACGGATTTGGAGTCCTCCTTGTTGTGACTGACCGAGTTCTGAGTGGTGGGCTTCGTGCTCAGCGGCAAACTGATACCCAGATTCGGAGGCCCCTCGACACTTTTCAGCGTCCCGTGCATAGACTAATTAAAAAAGAAAGAACAAACCAAGGTGGTACTTGCTCTCTGGAGAGAATACAAGGTGCGATGGCCAGCAGGTGGAAGGCTGGAGAAGCCAGTGTGGTGTAGTGGTTAGCGCGTTGGACTAGGACCTGGGAAGCCAACAGGGTTCAAATCCCCACTCTGCCACAAAACTCACTGGGCATAGCTGTCAAGCGTCCCTTATTTGGCGGGACAGTCGCTTGTCCCAGCGCCATGTCCCGCTGCTGTCCCTTATTGCTGATGTCCCTTAAATAAGCTACTGAAGGTAATGCTTGTAGATTAAGTTTCACGAATCCATGGCACCCATAGGCCAATGTACAGAGGCGGAAAAAACCACATGACACAGCTGGACTGTACCACTTCAAAGATGGGGGACTGCATGTCTGAATTCCCACTACTCGCCATTACCTTGCACAGAGAGAGCTGCCATGTCGGGGGGGGGAGTGTTCTAGACTAGCCTTTCCCCTTATATTCTGTCAAGGTTGTCTGCTACAGATAAAAATCTCACTGAGGAATCCCTGGGTTTGCCCAGAACACAAGCTGAAAGTTACTGCGGTAAAGCCAATAGCTTAAAAGCAGAAGTCCAGTGGGAAAAGGCTACTGATTGCCTAATGCCTTAGTATAAATATATATACCGTATTTTTCGCACCATAGGACGCACTTTTTCCATCCTAAAAAGCAAGGGAAAATGTGTGTGCGTCCTATGGAGCGAATGCAGGCTTTCGCTGAAGCCTGGAGAGTGAGAGGGGTCGATGCGCACCGACCCCTCTCGCTCTCCAGGCTTCAGGAAGCTATCCGCTAGCCGTGGGAGACCCAGCTCTCCCACCGCTAGCGGAGCGCAGCATTAATCCCGAAGCTTCGGGCGTGCGGAGCACAGCGCGCCCCAAGCTTCCGGGTGCAAGCAGGGTCTCCGCTAGCCCTGGGAGAGCCCCGCGACGTCGCGCGGCTATCCCAGGGCTAGCGGACCACTGCGCTAATCCCGAAGCTTGGGGCATGCGGAGCTCAGCGCGCCCCAAGCTTCTGGGTGCCGGCAAGGTCTCGCTAGCCCTGGGAGAGCCCCGCGACGTCGCGCGGCTCTCCCAGGGCTAGCGGACCACTGCGCTAATCCCGAAGCTTGGGGCGTGCAGAGCTCAGCGCGCCCCAAGCTTCTGGGTGCTGGCAAGGTCTCGCTAGCCCTGGGAGAGCCCCGCGACGTCGCACGGCTCTCCCACGGCTAGCGGACCACTGCGCTAATCCCGAAGCTTGGGGCGTGCAGAGCTCAGCGCGCCCCAAGCTTCTGGGTGCCGGCAAGGTCTCGCTAGCCCTGGGAGAGCCCCGCGATGTCGCGCGGCTCTCCCACGGCTAGCGGACCACTGCGCTAATCCCGAAGCTTGGGGCGTGCAGAGCTCAGCGCGCCCCAAGCTTCTGGGTGCCGGCAAGGTCTCGCTAGCCCTGGGAGAGCCCCGCGACGTCGCACGGCTCTCCCAGGGCTAGCGAAGCGCTGCGCTAATCCCGAAGCTTGGGGCGTGCGGAGCACAGCGCGCCCCAAGCTTCTGGGTGCCGGCAAGGTCTCGCTAGCCCTGGGAGAGCCCCGCGACGTCGCACGGCTCTCCCAGGGCTAGCGAAGCGCTGCGCTAATCCCGAAGCTTGGGGCGTGCAGAGCTCAGCGCGCCCCAAGCTTCTGGGTGCCGGCAAGGTCTCCGCTAGCCGTGGGAGAGCCCCGCGACGTCGCGCGGCTCTCCCACGGCTAGCGGACCGCTGCGCTAATCCCGAAGTTTGGGGCGTGCGGAGCACAGCGCGCCCCAAGCTTCTGGGTGCCGGCAAGGTCTCGCTAGCCCTGGGAGAGCCCCGCGAGGTCGCACGGCTCTCCAACGGCTAGCGGACCGCTGTGCTAATCCCGAAGCTTGGGGCGTGCGAGCTCAGCGCGCCCCAAGCTTCTGGGTGCCGGCAAGGTCTCGCTAGCCCTGGGAGAGCCCCGCGAGGTCGCACGGCTCTCCAACGGCTAGCGGACCGCTGTGCTAATCCCGAAGCTTGGGGCGTGCGAGCTCAGCGCACCCCAAGCTTCTGGGTGCCGGCAAGGTCTCGCTAGCCCTGGGAGAGCCCCGCGACGTCGCACGGCTCTCCCACGGCTAGCGGACCGCTGCGCTAATCCCGAAGCTTGGGGCGCGCTGAGCTCCGCACGCCCCAAGCTTCGGGATTAGCGCTCTGCTAGCCGTGTCTAGGCTGCAGATAGCAGCCTGCTTCCTGGAGCGTCGGGCGCCCTGAAAGCAGAGCTCCAGGCGCTTCGGGAACACATCCGCAGCGTGGGGAGGCTTGCAGGAGTTCCCCACAGGGCTCCCCACGCTGCGGATAGCAGCCTGCTGCCTGGCCGGTGGGGCGCCCTGAAGCAGAGCGCCCCTCGCGCCAGGCAGACATCCGCAGAGTAGGGAGCCTTGCAGGAGTTCCCCACAGGGCTCCCCACGCTGCGGATAGCAGCCTGCTGCCTGGCGGGTGGGGCGCCCTGAAGCAGAGCGCCCCGCGCGCCAGGCAGACATCAGCCAGCCCCACAAGCTCGGGGGACAGCAGGGAGGCGCAGCGCCACTATCCCGCTGTTCCTCGACCTGGTTCGGTTTCCCTGACCTGCTTTTGGGGGGGAAATAAAGGGAATTTTTTTCCCTTTATTTCCCCCCAAAAAAACTAGGTGCGTCCTATGGTCCGGTGCGTCCAATCGTGCGAAAAATATGGTATATCATTATAAATACCAAAGTTCAAAGGAATGAAACTACCAGAAGTAGTAAAGTAAAGAGACCCCTGACCATTAGGTCCAGTTGTGGCCAACTCTGGGGTTCCGGCATTCATCTTGCTTTATTGGCTGAGGGAGCCGGCATACAGCTTCTGGGTCATGTGGCCAGCATGACTAAGCCACTTCTGGCGAACCAGAGCAGCGCATGCAAACGCCGTTTACCTTCCCGCCGGAGCGGTACCTATTTATCTATTTGCATTTTGACGTGCTTTCGAACTGCTAGGTCGGCAGGAGCAGGGACCGAGCAACAGGAGCTCACCCCATCACGGGGATTCGAACCGCTGACCTTCTGATCGGCGAGTCCTAGGCTCTGTGGTTTAACCCACAGCACCACCCGCGTCCCTACCAGAAGTAGTAGTCAGCCTCAAAACACCACTGCAGAAAAATTTTGTGGGGGGTTGTTTTCTTTTAACCTATAATATAGAGAAAGAAAAAGTCTCTGAAAGTGGATTCTGTAACTTCATAGTAATCTGCATAAAGTTTAGAATCTATGCAGATTAAGGGATTGGCCATAACTCAGTAGTACTATAGCGCAGAGGCTGGGACACCTCTCATCATCCATGACTGCAGGCCACACTGGCTGCGGCTGATGAAAGCTGTGGGCCAACAACATTTGGAAGGCATTGCACTGCACCCCTGGCATAAGGTCCAGGTTCAGGCTTTGATCTATTCAGTTCAAAGATTTGGGAAAGTCCTCTGCTCTGAGACTTGGGGAAGAGCAGCTGCCAGCCTGAGTAGACAGTACTGGGTTAAGCAGTTTAGTGACCTGGTTCCTAAAATATAATGCCGTTTCACGCGTTCACAGTTTTATCGTTTGCAAGCCTGCTTCCCTTGTGATTACAAGGGCATCTAACCTGGTGTCAGGAACGTGCCTCCCTTCTGCCGAGCGCAGGGGAAGAGTTAGACTCAGAAATCGAACTAGGTGAACGAGGGTCTGACTCTGCAGATGACAACTGGCTGACAGAGTTGAGAAAGGGCAGTTTGACCCCCCTTCCTGGGGAAGACTCTGTTAGCTCTCAAGAAGAGGTGGAGTTGTACGGCAGCCAGAGCATTGCTAGGCAATCAGCAGATAAGCAGGGGTCTGAGTCAGTGTCAAGTGGGAGTGGGGAGTGGGCAGGCCAGTCTCTCAGTCTCCGTTCTAGGCGTCTGGATAAGATCAGATGGCAACGGAAGGGCAAGAGAGGAAAGGCAGGAGTTTGGCGTCCTTCCTGCTGTGGGAGGGGTGAAAATTCAGACTGATCAACTATTGCAAATGCGAGCAGGCAAGAAGCTGGGCTCTGGGTGTGTCTTTTTTGTAAATATACATGCATAAGACTGCTGGAGAGTCATTACATTACAGGCTTGCTTGCCTGCCAGAGATCATTACACCTACTTTCATCTACTTCTGGTGGCTCCCCGTTATGGTTGCCAAACGAAGCCCACACACCTTGATATGATCCATCATGAGTTGCTTCTGTGCGTACAAAAGTGAACAGTCTGGACACTTGAAGACAGACACTTTCTGGTTTTCGATGTGTTGGTCAAAGTGGCGATACAGCAAAGGCTGCAGGGTGAACACTGTGTCGCACATAGAGCATTTGTAGATTATCCTTTTAAAAGAAAAACACACAGAAAAAGGCAGTTGAAGACATAACGTTCGTCTGTTGTGGCATTTCATTTATTCCAAAAGACTGCATTATTGGCATAGGTTTTTAAACCGTACCCCGATTTTCTGTCCCACAAAGGGGCTGCTCAAAGGGGCTTACACATGAAAGCAGGCAGGTAGAGAATTATACCCTGGTCTCCCAGGTCCTAATCCAGCACTCTAACCACTACCTCATACTGCCTCACAGGGCAGTGTGAAATTGTAGGTGAAGCTAACCACACATAAGCCCAATGCATGGAAGCAATACCCGAAAAGGCCCAGATATGTAGGTCACTCAGTGGCAATCAGGCGTTTTCATTTCTAAGGCTCATAAGAACAACCTTTGCAGAACTGAAAGTAGTGCTTGCATGGCAATGGGCTTTCAAACGACCCCTTGAGGCTGTAAATCATCTTGGTGGTTTCAGTGCCTTCCCATAAACGCAGACAAAGGACTCTTGCTCCTAATAAGGGAAGCATTACCAGCCACTTATCATTAGAACTGACACTGAATTTTCACCCGAAGCAAAATTCAGCTGAAGAATTGGAGGGACGTCAAGGGGAGCCGGAGGAACGTTTGAAAGGAACGGCAAAAATAATAATTAAATTCTCATTTTGCACTTTCCTTCTTTTTCTATGAAGATGCATTGTAGATGCTGTATCTGTATTATGCATTTATAACAGCGGCATACCGGTTCTGACTTAAGAAACCCTGGGAAATGTAATCTGGCAGGGATGCTTAGATTTCTCTATTAAAGACCCTTATCATTCTCTCACACAGAGTGCTCCCTTGAGAGAGGAATGGCCATTTGCATCTGGAGTGAGCACAGATACCCCTATTTAAGGAGCGGGAAACTGCAGGGTTTTTTGGGGGGGCGGCTTCTGGCCTCTTGTGGCTCTTCCTGTGCCCTGACCCTCAAGGGCTGTTGCCTGGCTTCACTCTCCTCACATTCTTTTGCCCGGTTGGAATGTGCCTGTGAACTGCCTTTTTCCTGTCCGGATGTAGAATGAAGATGTTTGTACATAATTGGAATGTAGCCTGTCGTACAAAGTTGTACCCATTGCCCCGCCTACCCTTGCCTCTGGCTCCACCCATATATTTTTTGCCTCTGGCCCTGCCTACCATTGACATGTGGCCTCTGGAAAGCTGTCCATAAGGGGGACATGCCCTTGGGCTGAAACAGGTTCCCCTAGACCAATGATGGCCAAACTTATCCCTCCAGCTGTTTTGGGACTACAACTCCCATCATCCCTAGCTAACAGGACCAGTGGTCAGGGATGATGGGAATTGTAGTCCCAAAACAGCTGGAGGGCCAAGTTTGGCCATCACTGCCCTAGACCATCAACAAGGAAGTACTGAAGTGAATATGAGAAATCTGGGGAGAGGAAATCAGCGAGGCTTCAACCGCTGCAAAATCCCTATTTGAAAGGTCGGCTCTGTGTAGGAAAACGTGGCCTAAAATTTGCTTTGATGCAAGACCTTTTCAACACGCTAAAAATACACGGATCTCTGTGCAACTTTTTCAGTTACACGGGAGCAGGGTGCTCATACACTCTCACCAATTTCACTTATAACCTTCTTGAATTAAGCAGGAAGGTATGAAAGGAGGTTCTAAGCATATGCTGTCGAACATGCTGCTCTTTTGTCTCATTTATATATTGCACCTGTCCTTTAATTTTAGAAACACCGTGGAAAGTAGGAGAACCAGCTGCTGCCAGGACTGTTCCTGCTTCTCTGATGGCATATGGGGAGTTCTGGTCATGACACGCAACATTCATTTCTGAGCATGATAACCGTAGCATTGCAAGTCAATAGTTAAAGTCAAGTAGGATGCAAAGATCAGAGCTGCTTACTTGGGCTCCCCTATCTTGATTCCAGGGTGCTGCGTATAGGCGTGGGAATGAGTGCTGGGTGCCGACTTGAATGCCATTGGACAAATGGGACACTTGTAGAAGACTTCACAGTGAGAACCTTGGATGTGGGATTTGAGCGCCGCTACATCAGAGTATACCACATTGCAATGGACACAGCTGCAAGAGATGGAGAGTTATGTCAGTGTTTTCTGTTGTGCAGTGCAATGCAACACCGTAGGGTCTAAGTGCTAGCATCCTTCTACAGCGTGTAGAAAATGGCCAAGGACACAGCTATAACTGTACACAGAACAAATAAAGGATACAAAATGTCTCCAGTATACTACAGTGGTACCTTGGTTCTCAAACAACTTGGAACCTAAACACTGCAAACCCGGAAGTAAGTGTTCTGATTTGTGAACTTTTTCCAGTAGCCGAACATCCTCCGTTTTGAGTGCTATGCTTCTGATCTGAGTGCCACTCTTCTGTTTTGAGCGTTACACTGAGGTCTCTCTGTTTTTGCTATTTCTTTTGCATTTTTGTGGCTTTTTTGTTTTGTTTTTGTGACTGTGTGGAACTGATTGACTGATGGATTGTGTGACTGCAGTACATTGAATACTGCTTTCATTTTATGGATCAGAGGTCTTGTTAGTAAAATTCATGTTAAATTGATGTTTTAGGGGTTGTTTTTAAATGGATTAATCCATTTTGCATTACTTTTTATGGGAAAGCATGCCTTGGTTTTGGAACGCTTTGGTTTTGGAACGGACTTCCAGAACAGATTAAGTTTGAGAACCAAGGTACCACTGTATCACTGAAAGATTCTCAACCCTGGGGCACAGGGCACAAAGGACTGTGGCCCAGAACAAGGATTTTATCTTCCTCTGTACAAGGTTGGTAAGAAGCCGACAGCTCTGTTCTGCATGCAGGAAAAGTCTCATGATGAAAGAAGCAAAAGATAAAACAAAGCCCCCTGTGACCCTCTCTCCCTTTCTGGTATCATGCCACAAAGACACTCATAGCTGGAACAAAAGCATAGTTCAGAGCCATGCCGAAGTAGCCTGCATACTTTGAGCAGCTGTGCCTTAACAAACCTACCAATATTAATGAAAATGTCATCCCCCAAATTTGAAGCTTGAGGATGCTGTACAGCTAGAGTGGCCAGATGCCAAAGCAAAGAGGTTTTTGCATCTTGCCCCTGGAAAAATTATGTGGCTAACTTATTCCCACATATCCTTTCCATCTGTAATTTACTCATGGAACTTGTTCTAGAAGAAGCATGTTGAGAGTCAATTCAAAATATCCTCATCAAGTGGATGAGCTACCACAAAATACCATAATTATTATTCCGAAATATGCATATAACAGATTTTGAAACTTGTTTAAAGACTAAGCTTGTAAAATTTGGTCCCTTGCTATGTGCCTGTAGATTCAGGTATTTTAAAAAAATGTACTCGAATAATTATGTGGCACTAACAATATGCCATTTCCCCTGAAGTTTTGGCTTTCTGAAACTTTATACAGCATACCACTTCACAGTCTCAAAAGTATTTTTATTATACTGACCGAAATCCAACTCTTCGAGTGTAGTGCAGGCAGTTCTTTGTGACGTGGGTCTGGAAATGTACCGATCTACAGATTGCACCACACTCGGGACAGGTGTACGGCGATTTGTGCTGATGAATTCTCTGATGCGATGCAAAGCTGCACAGGTTGGGTAGCAGCATTTGACATATACTACACGTCTTCTACACAATAAACCGGAAACAAATGAGATGATAAGCCAATTGTTTGTCCTGGGCACACGTTAACATTTAATAAAGGTAGTCACAATTCATCATCATCATCATCATCACCATCATCATAGAAAGTACCATTATGGGTGTTTCAGTTAAAAGGGATAAGAACAAAGCAATAAAATGGACCCATTACACCACTGTTCCTTTAAACTGAGTTCCTGTCTCTTAGGTCCAGGTTAAGAAAGGACAGGTGCATTATATCCTGTAAAGTACAGGTAACTGCATTTGCTAACCACATTCAATGTCACAACTCTTTCTCCTTCTCTTCTAATATTAGATTAGAACCTAAGGGTTGAATCCAACGAAGCCATTCCGCTTGAGCTATGAAATTTCTTTGGAGGTCTTTGGAGGTCTTTAAGCAGAGGCTTGACAACCATATGTCAGGAGTGCTCTGATGGTGTTTCCTGCTTGGCAGGGGGTTGGACTCGATGGCCCTTGTGGTCTCTTCCAACTCTATGATTCTATGATTCTATGAAATTTCTCCTTGCATTTTCTTTTCTATATAAAGTTTTGTTAACATTTTTTCACAATACAAGACAAGCTAATCTACACCAAAAAAAATAATGAAGAGAAAAGAAAAGCGACAGGGAAAGAAGAATTCAAGATCCCCTCTCACAAATATATCTTAACTGTTGTCTCATACAAAGATGTGTCCCTTCAGCTCTCAATCCTCTCTTCTCCCAGCCTCCCTCCCCTTCCTTTGCTTCCATATTCTCATACATTAAAAAGCATAACGACAACAATAAAGAAGAGAGTAAAGGAAAAGAAATCAAAGCAAGGAAGGAAAACAAAAGAAAGGAAGGATGCGAGGAGAAAGGAGGGAGTATTCCAAAAAACGACATTAGAATTCCAGTCAATTGTCTTTCGTCAGCATGTTATCCAAGAAAGTTTTTCCAAAGGAACCCATGAGAAGAGGGCAGCTGCCAGTCATGTTCCTTAACTTTAATGGGTTCAACAAACAGATGCCAAACTTTAGAAAAGTTGTCCTTTTTCAGATTGTGTAGGGTTCCAATATATTTTGCTAACTTTTCCATTAGTTCCAAGCTCCTGTAATTTGTTCGGGCCACCTGGGAGAACCACCAAAGTTGTGGTGTGGGGGCGTGTGGGGGGGGGTTGCACAGGAGGAAGAAAGGGAAAGTTATGTTGCACAAGCAGAAATCATTCCACTTCCTTGCACAGAGTCATTGTTAGATGCAACCCTGAAGGGTTAAACTCCATGAAGGAGGAACCTTGCCTTCTTTTGCTTAAGTTGTAAATGAAACATCATGTGCTTTACGGACTGTGTTGAAAGGCATGGGGCAAGTCAGGGTGAAGGCTCCCTTTTTATTCAAGAAGAAATCAGAAACTTTAGGGAAGGTTAAAAACCGAACAGAAATGAGCTGTTTTTCATAATTCATCGTCATTTCAAAACCCTGATCCACAGCTGTAGCAAATGAGGTCTATGGATGGGTGCAAAGACTGGTAGGGGTGTCATGGCGTCCACAACAAATCTACACTAGGCATCTTCAGGCTATGCTGATTTCGTTTTCGTACTGCTCTTCCTCCAGAGCTCTGGGTGGTGTTATGCATCTATACAACAATATTGGTTAAGCTGAGAGACAGCAACTGGCTCAAGATCAGCCAGGAAGCCATGCAGCTGGACAGGGTTTTGAATTCAGTTCTGTCTGGTCCAGCTCGTGAACCCTCACAAACCCCATTGGTCAGTTCCATCTCCCCAAGCTTTGAGTCCGGTTATTCCCTGGGGATGGGAGACTGCATCAGTAGGTAAAAAGGTAAAGGTCACCTGGGCGGTTAAGTCCAGTCAAAGGCAATTATGGGGTTGCGGCGCTCATCTCGCTTTCAGACCGAGGGAGCCGGCGTTTGTCCACAGACAGCTTTCCAGGTCATGTGGCCAGCATGACTAAACCGCTTCTGGCGCAACGGAACACTGTGACGGAAACCAGAGTGCACGGAAATGCCGTTTACCTTCCCGCTAGAGCGGTACCTATTTATCTACTTGCACTGGCGTGCTTTCGAACTGCTATGTGGGCAGGAGCTGGGACAGAGCAACAGGAGCTCACCCTGTTGTGCGGATTCGAACCGCCAAGCTGCAAGCCCAAGAGGCTCAGCTGCATCAACATCCTATGTCCTACTGCATCAACATCCTATGTCCACACCAACTCTAAGAACCTTGGAGGGAAGAGCAGTATAGAAAACAGAACAAGAGAGTACAGCAGCAATGCATGTAATGTTGACCCCTTGCTGCCTTTCCTAAAAATAAATAAATACAGCTATTTTAATATTTTGCAAGAGAAAATTTGAAGCACTGTCTAGTCTTTTATCTGCCCCTCCACACCAGCCCTCAGTATCAGACTCGCCTCTTTGGAATATAATCCTAATCATGCGTAGGTGTCATCAACACAGCAGTTAAGATACCCCTTTGAATAGGCATGGATTTCCTGGGTGTTGTTTTTCACGGGCTTTGAGAGTGACTGGAAGCCACACAGAGCTACAATTTCCAGAGCTCCCTGGAAGACTGGTTGCTAAATCACCCCGCCATGACTGCTTGGAGTAGCACGATACTGGTTTAAATGTATGTTGCTGGTGCAGCCTTACTCTTTAGTAAGACCCACAAGACACAAATGGGGATTTCTTCTGAGTCAATGCACATAGGCTTGTAGCACCTAAAACCCAGTACATAGAACATGTGAGAGGAGCAGCAGCAAAATGTTGCAGTATATCCTCCCTCTATCTGAAGCACTCCTTCCAACTGATATCCGACATTCTGCAACTACCGAGCATGCTCAGTCTTCGCTGGAAGGTTGAGGGGGATGTCCACCAAAATTTATATACCTGCAAACCTCAGGAATCCCATTACAACGCTGCAACCTTCCTCTCTTGTTCCCCAGTGGCCTCCAATCCTGCCAGCACTTAACCACCTGAGTTTGCCATTATGAGGTTCTGCAGTTCTGGCCTGAATCACTTCAGACCTTCAGGGGTCGAATTTTGGAAGGCACCATCAACTGGGGGCGGGGGGAGGGAGGGAGGGAATATGCCTTATATGCAACGAACTAACATTCGGAGAGACCTGCGCCACGCATTTCTCTCAGGTATTCTAGTTCATTATTACATGCAGGGATTGAGGGAGTATTCAACAATACAAGCCCTGCCCCACCTGTGGCCTAAAGTAGGTGCAAACCAGAATGTTAGCGTTTTGCATGTGCTTGGGCTTTTCAGTTTGGAAAGAAGAGATAAATGAGGTTCTGCAGTTAATCCATGGGTAACCTAGCAACCTGGAAGGAATTTCACTCAGTTCCACAAGTACAAAAAGAGATTTCTAGCTCGTTTGAAATTATAACCAATTCATAAATCACACAAGATGTGTACAAGCTCAAATTTAAGAGTGTGCTTTGCCAGGAACAATTTGCATCTATATATGCACATCCCGATCTACATTACACCGAATTGGCCAGATGTGCCTTTTGCTGGGAATGGGGGTGCGTATCAGCAACTGAAGCCACCCAGTTCTTTTGCTGGGATCTGAGCCAATATTTTATTTTGCCTCTTGCTTTTCCCACCCTAAAGCTGAACATGCACTAAAGATCTGTAAATTCTCTTTCCCCCCCAGAAAATTTTACATTTAAAATATAATTGTGCGTGTTAGTGGTTCTGCTTTCATATCAATGAATAACAAACCAACAAACAAATAAGGAAAGTAAACCAGAGGTAATATTAACATTTTGAGCTTACAAAAAAGCATTGCACAATTTATGACGAATTCTATATTTCCAAAAGTGGCATTGCTTGATTTTAAAAGCTACCAATATATAAGACATAAGCCCCAAAGGGTGGTAAATATTACTTTCACAAATAAACTTCACTCCTGCAACCCATTCACGCTGTTTTGTTCATTTTGCTGCTCTCCCCTTCCTCAAAATTTGTAACAGTGTTCGTACATTCAGAGTGATGGCAGGCAGCATGGCCCTTGCTCTGATTTGGCTTTCAAGCTTTTATTAAGATTAGCAACTATTATTACATAGCATTTCTAGAAGGAAAAACGGGGGCTAGTTTACAGTCTACTGGCGGTGAACGGCTTGCAAGAAGGCTCTGCTATCTCACATGCTGGCTTGTTTAAGAAGTTCAAATCATAATCAGCTGCACTGCAGAGACCTCATCTTCCACAGCCTCTTAATCCCCTGGTAAATTTCCATTCTAAACAGGAGCAGCTAGCTAGCCACCTTTGGAAATGCCTAGATACTCACTGTAGGGACCAACTCTTGCTTTGATCACAGTTTGCAACAGAGCCAGGAAAGGGTTGGGGAAGACCTTTTTTTCCAGCTGGGGTAGATTCTTCTACTTTAGAAAGCAAGATGTCAAAAGTATATTCAGGACAGAAACATGCACATTTTCTCTTAGCCTTTCTGCTCCCAAAGCAAACCGCTCTTCAGACTCGGGAATCGGACAACAGAAAGGCACAAAAAGGCAGCCCAAGTTCTTGAGCCCCAAACCCCAAGAGTAAACCCTAAATAAAGTATGCAGTCAATTCCAGAAAGCAGCTGATGTTTATTGTCAACAGTAGATCTAGAATCACAGGTTGCCCCATAAACCAAAACTAATGCAATGCGAATATAGCAACACACACACACACACACACACACACACACACACACACAGTCCCAAGAGTCCAAAAAAGAAGAAGAGAGTAATATACTGTACATGGATCCAAACAATCCACAAGAGAATTATATGACTAAAAATCCCGAGCAACATGAGCTCTGGATAATGAACAAACCACTTTTGAAAACACACACAAATGAATCTACCTTATGTACAGGGATGGGTGAAATCTACAAATTTTGGTTTCCCTCTGTTTATTGTTTTTCCAATCTCAATTTCAGTTCTCTACATACCCATATCAGTTTGCAATGTATTTGTCTGTTTTAATTCATCGACATTTTGGTGTGAATTTT